GAAATGACAAGTAGTATGAAGAGCGTTAAACTTGAGTGTGTGATAATGTGACCAAGTGACTACTTTAGAGCAACTGTTTAAAGGAGGGGTTCTCTGAGGAGGTGACATTTCAGTTGACACTTGAATGACAGAGCAGACAGCTATACAGAGATCAGGAGGAGGAGCAGAAGAAAGTTCCTGAAATGATCCCAAGGCCAGAGCGAGTCTGGCCTATTTAGAGAGCAGAAAACCAGTGTGGGTGGAGAGGAATTTTCAAGGACAGTAGCATGATATGAATTCTGAGAAGTAGCCAGGATGGATGGATAGGTGGAAGGAAGGAAGGAAGAAAGAATAGATGGAAGGAAGGGGATGGAATAGAAGGGGAACAGAAAGAAATGAACAAGAGTACTAATTTCAGGTTAATCAGAGATTCTTTTATATGTTGATCTTTCTGGAAGTTTTCTATTAGTTCACAATCCTGCCTTAGCAAGTACTGAAAAATGAATATAACTCTCATTATTTGATATTTTAAGAAGGTGCCATCCCTTAGGTTATCACCTTAAATTATCAATGACCTTCAGGGTAACACCGAAAAAAATACATCTGTAGAAAGTGTAATAAAGTGGGATGAATAGATATTAATTTCAAGAGATACCCAAGAGGTGAATTTTCAATAATACTTGAGTCTGTTTTGTACTGATTTGCCCTTTCCTTCTCATGGAGAGTAAAAGATATTCTTAGTTAATGATTTACATGTACTGATTCTGATTAATCAATGTTTTCTGGTACCAAAAGGGTGATTTAAATGATTCTCAAATTTCTCTTATCTTCTAATATTTACCTGTTGTGTAAGATTTTATAAGCAAATTTTCAAAAGCAATGTATTTTTAAGGTTGTTGGAACTGAAGCCCAAGCAATTACATTGTAAATAAAGGAACGCACTGCCCTCTGTGACCTCACACAAATCAGATCATCAATCAAAATCTCAGTTCTTCCTGTAAACACTGGGATCTATGCTCAGACTCCAGCTAGAATCTCAATAAAGAGCTTTGATTTTATTGGGGGTAAATTGTTTTTATAAATATAACCTTGATATTTTACAAATTTTAACTGACAACAGAGTTTAAAGCTGACATTACACTGACCTTAGGATTACTCCCATGTCACCCATTCCCAACCAGAAGTTTCCTTCTCTAAAGTCCACAAAAAGTATCAACAACCACCCCATTTAATGGTGATTTGAATTTGCAAATACTTTCTCTCAGCAATCACAAAGCCATATCCAGAAATATTCATTAGTAATTGTATTTGCGTCTATTAAATGTAGATTAAGAGGATTTTATTTTAACAAGATTTTATTTACCAACTAATTAGGATGACAATTTATTACAAGTATGAAAATAATTAACTTAGAATTAATAGAGTAGTATAGCTTTTCTGGTTGTAAGAAAGAAAGAAAATCTTTTCTCTCCCCTCTATGGGCCTTGGTTTGCATAGCTACTTATATCAGTCATTGTTATTAATTTCACATTTTTACTTACTCTTTATTTTCCCAGACATTTGAATTCTGGTGCTGTCAATTTCATAAAGGTCTTTTAAAGATAAATGTGCTATGTATCAAAAGCAGTTGTTTAAATAGGCTTTCAGTTCTGACAGCTTTGCTCTTGATACTTTCCACAGCAGCAGCTAGGAGAGCATTTTACCATCAGTCATGGCTATCTTTGTAATGCTTCCTTTTTTCTCCTCCAGTCAAAGTAAATATGTTCTTACAACTAGCATTACCCTGCAAAATGTTTCCTCATGTTTAATAAATGTGACCATCAGTTTAGTGAACAACAACAAATAAACAAATGAAATTCCCATACTCCCTTATTGAACAGGGAGAATGATTACATTATTTCCTTTATATATTAGTCAGTGTTGTCTCAATATTGTCTTTTGGCCAAATGTCAGTAAAATAAATAAAAAATTAAAGCTTCTTGAGGCATGATGGTTAGATCATTAGCAGGCCAAGCAAAAACTTACTTAACTGGAAAATGTAATGTTTAGAAAGTATAAATGCAGCTAACTGTACATTCTTAGCTCCAACATTTTCAAAGATAACTTCATCTACCCTGCTCTTCCATTAAAAAAAAAAAAAAAATCTGTTGTCTTAAGATAAAAGGGCCTCAAAACTCCAAGATTTAATCCCTGCTTCAGGCTAATGACAAAAACTATTTTTCATTTTTTTAGTTCACATCCTGAAAAAACATTCCCTTGACAGAAAATGTTCTGAACTAGACTCTGAAAGGCAAATGTATTTGCTTCACTTCAGTTTTTCAGGATGACAAAGGAGAGAAGAGGAGTCAAGAAGAAACATAAAAGTTGACCTAAAAAAGATCTGTTTCAAATATTAAAATATTTTTTAGAGCATCGAACAACTTCAAATTTCAAATGTTATGCTATAAATAAATATTTGAATGACAGAACACCTTACCCTTGTACACCCAGGATTAAAAATCATATCATATTTATTTCCAATCATGTCACTGAACTGCTACTGTTTTCTGGACTGCAAATAAATGACTTATTCATAATAATGTGACACAGTTATGTATGATTGATTGGTATGAAATAGAAAGGGACTTTGTCCTCAGTGTACACTTAGAACAGGGCTTGTCCCGTGCAAGCTATCAGTCCATCTGCAGCCAACCAGCTAAACTACCCTTCTGGTGAGAGACTCAGTAGATTTTTCACAGCATAATTTCCACTCCACAATAAATTACCAATCCCAACTGCCTCTCTTTTAAGACATTTCTAGATTTCAATTCATTATAATTCTATGACTTCAACCTTATCTTGGACTTTTAACAATCTCATCATGGTTTTTCAGGGTTCAAGGAGAAAAAAGGCAGACAAAGTACTCCTCAATTTTTGTTTCTTTTACAAGAGAAAACACTACTATTGACAAAACAATTAGTATAGAAATCTTATTGATTGTATATACCTTAAAGCTTTTCCTTTTCTTTGATTTTTCCTTCCATTTCAATAATCAAGCCAGGGAAGGAAGAAAGGAATTTCTAGTCTAGTGGTCACACTCCACATCGTATAACTGTGTTGCTGTTTTTCCCCTAGCCAAATAAAGCCATTAATCAACAGGAAAAATACGCAGCAAACTACCTATATACATCCTCATATTATCCCCAACAGAGAGCTGAGAATTAGAAAGTTGCTTCTGGAAGAACTTCTGTCACAATAAAGAAATATGGTGGTGTGCCCAGAACCTTGGAGCACTCTTACTCTGGATTGGTTTAAGCCTTGGCTATAACTAAGTATAAGGAAAATTTAGTGAATTATTTGCTTAATGAATGAGTATTTATTTAAAAACTGTCCTTCTGTATAGCCAAAGTCTTGCTTCCCAAATAATTATAGTCAGTCTGAGACACATTTTACCCAGAAATTTCAGTTATTTTTCCCACTTAAGAGGTTTATGAATATGGTCTTAAAAAAACTAAAAACAGCCCAAATCTACTGCTGATATATTACATTGACAGTGCACTTTAGTTTCGTACACTGTGATTTCTATTGATTGTTTTATTTCCTTTGTCCAGTGAACCTGTTCCTTTGATTACATTGATTCTAGTAGTCCCAGTTATTTTGACTTGGTATCACATGGGTAGTGCTTTATATCACTCTACCATGTAGTGCTAAAATAATCATATATTTGATTGTTTGAAAATTAAAGTTTTAAAATATGCATTTTAAAATAATGAAAATACCAAATCTTCCATTTTTTTCTCAAATTCAGTTCATATGAATCCTGATTCCATTACTGAATATTTAATCCTGATATCCTATATGATATACATATGAAAAGATAGTTGTATCTGTAAAGAGTTTATTCTGCATACATGTCATTGCATGTCAGTTATGCAAATATGCGGCAGATCTGTAGTTCACATTAATATTTAGCTACAAAACCAAAAACGAACAAAAATTAGTGGTAATTGAAAAAGGCTTTATGTGTAAACTCAAACTGCATATTAATAATATAATACACATTTAATAAGTAGATATTCATGAGACTTAGAATTTAGATAATTGGACTAAAATAAGACAGAACTGAAGTCATGACTAATTCCAATAACCATTTCCTACTCTATATTTGCATATAAAATAGAATGTAATTCCCTGGTACCATTAATTTTTTTCTTCTTAGGCAAAAGTAATTTACTATCAAATATTTAAGGAATCAAAATAAGAAATCACTTCTGAAAATGCAAATTATTTAAACAGATGGCAATTGCTACACATCTCAAAGGAGAGTTTTAACTTTACTAATTTTTACAAAATAAGAGTGTAAAACAACACATATAGAAAGCTATACCAAAATAAGCCTTGCTCTGAAACTAGACCACCTTATCATCAGTAGAGGGAAGATGTATGTAAACATTTCATAGTTGATGTTAAACTCATTCAACTCTAACCACAAAATAAAACATGATTCTAACATTTTGTACTCAGTACTTTGAAATATATCCATAAACAAGTTTTGTTTCCTTCCTCACACCCACCACAATTTAGGGCCTTGTTGGACATTTTCAATACACTTTTATAGAAACTAGAGAAAATACACCTATCTTCCTAGACAGGATGGCGAACCACAGAAAGCTACATGATGTTGCAAACTTGGTGGAAATACCAAGTTTGATACAAACATGAGTTTTAGTTGCCATGTTTCAGTGAAAATGAATCCTGAGGCCCCTCAGGGGATTATGTACATCCCCAAGTGGATGACTCATTTCATTCTACCAACATTGGCATCAGGAAGAAAACGGCCAGGCACAAAGACTGGTGAAGACCTCAGGTGCCCCAGACTTAACTCCACAGACACATCTAGAGAAAAGAAGAGAAAACTGGCTTTTGCAGATGAAAGGCCTCCTAGGACCTCTGTCAACAGACATCTTACTGATGAGAGAAGGATTAAAATGAAGTGAACATCTTTGTTGGTGAAAATGGCAGGGACAAAACTGGGTCAATAATCTGATCATTTCTCTCTCCCAGGGTTTGACTGGACCCAAGATAAACTGCAACAAAAAATGAACATCAGAAAGTACAGATCAGCTTAAGGGTCAGGGGAGATAAGAAGCCGGAAAACACAGTATCTACCTGTCCTTTCTTCTTCCTTTAGAAACAAAATCAAACACCATAAGGAGCTTTAAAGTTCCAGCAAGTAACAAGAGAAAAAAATGACATTTTTAAAGTGCTAATATACCAATTCTAGATAACAACTTTGAACATTCTGGACTTCACATTTTCCACAAAAATCTGTTGTAATGGGTATCGTTCGTGTATCTATCACAAAGATTTGATTCTAAGATACTTTCATCAAACCTTGGATAGCTTTGGTCAACTCTCCACAAGTTATTTGTTTTCCTGAAGATCTTTCTGTGCCAATGTCTGAAAAGAAAAATATAGTAGTTATTCATGAGGAAAATTAAATTCCTAATGAAGGAATTCCATAAAGTTCATGTAAATTTAACACAATAACTGGGCATTTTTAAATTTTACCTTTGGAAGTTTTTATAAAAAATATAAATCCTGACATAAGTAATTGGGACATTTTAAACAAGAAATGTTTACAGAAAATAAACTGAAACAAAATGTAATGTACTAAATTACAATTACATTTTAACATATTTTAAAGCTAGCTATATATGTCTTCCATTAAAATGGAGCGTGGCAAATACTGCATTCATTTTATAAACAACCAAAGTAAGAGGTTAAAAGCAATTTAAAGTGCTCCCACACAATCCGAAAATAAGTTTCCAATAATTGAATCCAAAGTTCTTGAGATCATAAAAATCTGTAATAAGAAAGTTTTAGGATCAAACATAATAAAAGTATAATTTATGCCTATCAAAAACAAAAAGCTTTTAAGCATTATGATAGTTAAACTCCTTCAGTGCATTAATCCTCTAATAACTGTTTCAGTCAAGAGAATGTTGGGAGGTCAGGTTTGGATTTTTTTTAACTTAGTTTGAAATCGTACATATTCTCTTTGAATATAATTTGCTTTATGTAGCACCTAACTCTCCAGGAACTCAAAACACTTCAGGGATTTATATCCTGACCTTAGTTTTGTTCATTGTTGCTGTTTTATTTTTTTGTATCTAGTGAAAATCCATGTGAAGGGCAAACCACTAGTTCAGTGATATGTATCCCAACAAACCCATTCTTGCCAGTAGGGAAAATAATGCTGAACAGAAGTTAAAGAATCAGTGGTGGCTTACCAACTCCAAAACTTCTATTTCTGTTTGGAGAGCTTCACAAGCACTTTGTATGTCATCTTCCTTATAAAGTTCTAATTCTTTTTTAAGTCTGTTTTAAAGGAAAAATTCACCCTATGAGTTCAGCAATAAGCTTTTATGATAATTTTTTTATTATATGGATAGTGGCAGATTTGTAGCTTCTATCATCAGAATTTTAACACTAAAGAATTTGGAAAGAAATTTTAATTCTCTATACTTCTATAAAGACTGTATAAAATTCTGAAGAAGTACAAAACTTCCATAAGAAAATAAGGCAGACTAAATAAGACAATATTAGATTAATTAAAAGAGCAACATAGTTTAGTGGGGAAAAATATAGTACTGTCTGAAGAGCTCTGTTTTAGTCTTAGCCACTAACAAGCTGAAAAACTGGCTAAATCATTTAGCCTCTCTAAACTTCACCTGAAAAATTTTAATTACAGGAAAAAATGACCTCTGAGATTTCTTCTTGAACTAAAATTAAACATTAACTTTATAGTACACATATGCAATTAAAATATATTTTAATTTTAGAGTGAGAAAGCAACATCAATATTTCTTTCTTCCAATTAAGTCTTTAATCCTTTGAATATTCATAAATTTAAAAAAGTATTTTATGTCTATACTTAATGTAAAAAAATAGTGAAAAAATTGTCTTCTATTTCTAGCATTAGGGCTAATATTCCTTCCAAAAAGAAAAACTTAAGCGAAAGCCATGAAATGTGGCTGGAGAGGTAGAGAGCTAGGGCAGCAAGGCAGATGAGGCTGCCCTGAGGGAGCAACACTGATCTCACAAACGTAAGCCAATTGGGCCAGCCACAAGGTGAAGACTTGCACCTCTGTTGAGCTCCAACCCTTAAGGAAAGTCTGAAAGGGGTTCTAGGTCAGTGGCATTCCCTGTATGCTAGCAGAAGCAAAAGAAAATCCTCTCTGAAGGAAAGTTTAACATATTTTGACCTACAGGCTTCGCACAGATCAAGAGGAAACCATGAGCTCACAATCAGAGATCACCAAGCACGCAAGAAGGCAAGCCACCATAAATAAGTCAGCAGAGACAATAAACAATAGATTATGTCCATAATACACGAAGAACTACAAGTCAGTAAGAAAAAGACAACACAGTGGAAAATGGGCATACCCTCCCCAAACACACAAACCTCTGCCAGATCAAAAGATATACAATGGCTAACAAAAATAGGAAAAGATGCTCAACTTAATTAGTTATCAAGGAAATACAAAAGAAAAACACAATGAAGTGTTATTACAAACCCACCAGAATAGCTAAAATGAAAAATAAGGAATTCCAAATATTGACAAGGCTATGACTATATGCCATAGAGGCTACTCCTTTACACTTGGTTGCAGAATGAAGATGACAAGTGTGGCTAACTCCCAATGAACATGCATGTAGTGTGAGCAAGAAATAAACACTCATTATTCACTGACATCTTAGGGTTGTTTGCTTCTGAAGCATAATTTAGTCTAGGTCACAGAAAAAAATATAAAAAATAATTGGAAAGTCACCAGGAACTGAGCATTGAAGGCTACTAACACCCCCAAAACTAGAGGCACTAGGCCTCCTGATGGAAAAACACCACCATCTATGATATAGCTTTGCCAAAAAAATTCAACCTAAATTTGATCAAGTTTTTAGAACCAATTACCAATTTACAAAAAATATATAAGTCAAACAAACATGTTTAACCCTACAATGGGAATATAATCAACTACATCCAAATCGAGGGAAACTCTACAGGATAAAAAATTTAATCTCCTCAACAAATAAATTACAAGTTAAAAAAAAAGGAGGGGGATATTCAAGATAAAAGAGACTTAAAAGACTTATCAGCTGATTATCATGTATAGACCTAATCTGAACTTAATTCAGACAAAAAAAATGACACCTATAAATTGTAAATGTGAACACTGACTGGATATTTGATGGTATCAGTTAATTGCTGTTAATTATTTTATGTGTAATAATGGACTCTAGTTATGTTTTTTAAAAGTTCTTATTTTTTAAGAGACATAATAAAATAATTATATGATATATATGATTTGCTTCAAGTAATACAGGAGAAAAACAAGTAGAGATACAGATGAAACAAGACTGGTCATAAACTGATAACTGTTAAAGTTGCATGATGAAGTACATATGATACATTATATTTTTCTTTTTTACCTTTGTATGTGCTTTAAATCCTCTATAATAATTCTTTTAAGAAACAGAGTTTAGCAAAGATAGTGGCTATAAAGTCAACATACAAAAACCTGTTATATTTTCATGCACCAGCAATAAACAATTATAACATGTCATTTAAAATAAACACACCGTTTACAACAGCATCTAAAACTACAAAGTACCTAAAATTAAAACTTATCAAAGATGTGCAAGATCAATAAACAGAAAATCATAAAGTTTTATTGAAAGATATTTAAAAAGACAAATGGAGATATCCTAAGTTCATAGATGGGAAGTCTCAGTTTCATAAAGATATAAAGTCTCTCAGAAGTAACTACAATAATAAATGCAACTGTAACCAAAATCACAACAGATTTTCATGGATATGATAAATTGATTCAGAAATGTATGTAAAAAGCAAAAGGCCAAGTATAGACAATATACTCTTGAGAAGACAAAAAAAAGACAAAGGGGGGTGTCCCACCTTGTATCATGACTCATTATAAAGTAACAGTAATTAACTAGTTAAAATGGAATAGTATGCATTTAGTAGTTCTGAGTGGTAATGAACGAATTGACCAATGAAACAGAATAGAAAATAGAATATGAATTATATCCATGATCTATTATTATTATTTTTATTTTTAATACAAGATGTGACATTGTAGATCACTAGAGGAAGAAGAAACCATTCAATAAATGTTGCTGGGACAACTGGTTATCCATGTGCAAAAAAATGAAAATAGATCTTGTACATATAAACAAAATCAGTGCCATATAAACTAAAGACAAATGTGAAAGGCAAACCTTACAAATTATTAGAGAAAATACAAAACAATATCCTTCTGATCTTAGGTAAGTAAAGAGTTCTTAAGGCACAAAAATGCTAACCATAACAAGAAATGACAGATAATTTCAACCATATTAAAAGTAGGAACTCTACTAAAGCATAACAGTATAAAGAACTCCAAAAAACAAAACAAAAACAAAAAGCTTCATAAATTGGGAGAAGAGATCTCTAACGTGTAGCAAACAAAATCCAGAATTATGAAAAAACTAAAAATAAAAAACTTCTAGAAATCAATAAAATCAAATACCCAAACAACCCAGTTGCAAAATAATTATGAGGCATTTTACAGAAAAGGAAACACACGATCTATAAACAGATGGAAAGAAGCTCAATCTCATGGGTAGTCAGGGCAATACAGACTTAGCCCACAAAATACCATCTTATATCCATGAGGTTGGCAAGAGTTTTAGTAAGTCTAAAAATAAAGTACTGAAGAAGATGGAGATCAATGGGAATTTTTATAATTTGCTAAAGTAAATAGAAACTGGTTTAATCATTTTGGAAAATAGTTTGTTGTTACCTTGTAAAGTTCAAAATTCATATGCCTTTACACACCAATTCTACCAGGCATATAACCTAAACTCTTACACATGTTGTATCAGGATAATCACAAGAGCATTGTTTGTGGAAACGAAAACTAGAAACAATCCAAATGTGCATTAAAAGGAAAAAAAAAACTGTGATATATTCACACATCTACGTTCAATAACATGGATGAGTCTTAGAAACAATCCAAAACAGTATCATACCATTTTTACAAAACTAAAAAATAAACAAAAATAATCAATATGCAGACAGATCATATATATAAATACATGGCATAAATTTAAATAAATCACAATGTAACAAAGAAAATTATATATAGGGAAATGGACTAAATGCAGTATCACACATACACAAGAAAATGAAACACAATGTAGGACAGCAATTACATCTGGAAGGAAGGGTATGGAATAAAGGAGGAGCCCATGGCTAATGCAAGTTACTGGTTTTAAGTCTAGTTTAGTTCACAGGTGCTCATTATATTATTACACTTTACAACTTACACATAATTAGGGAAGAAAAACGTAATAACTGTAGGGATGGAAGAGGAAATAATACCCTGTATATGTGAACTTCATTGTGTTCTGAACTTTTATGAATTTAATAGTAAATAAGAATTCTGAAGGAATGCTCAAGTAGGAAAAATAGAACAAGTTATTAATTTTGAGCATTAGATGTTTACACAAGCATAAAAAGCCTTGTAATGAATATTTTTAAAGAGTAAGTAGAAAGTTAAATGGAGAATGACAATGCACTATGGAGAGCTATACAGTGTACTTCAGGCTTCATTTGAATATATTTATCTTTTTGAATAAAGTGGTAGCGATCTTTCTTCCACCATACCATCCATTCTTGCTCCTCCTCCTTTTCATTTTAAATGAAGTGCAGGTTCTGTAACATTTTTCATGCCATCAGAACTGGGCGGTTGACCACTTTCCCTTTCAGTGAGCTAACCGTGAGAATGAGAGACTACTGAAATTAAGGAGGGCATTTAGAGCGAATTATAGGAAGTATTTCACTATCCAGCATATAATCAAGCTGTAGAATTTAGATCTGCACTTAAAAAAAATTTGCTGTTGCTAGCTTTAAAAGAGGCTAGATAATACTGGTATGAATATTAATACATTTGCAGCTAGCCAAAGCTATATAATGGTAAGCAGATATCATGCTTCAGTGCACAGACTGATTGCCCACAGGAGTCAAGAAGGACTTCCTTCACCTGCTGCACACTAACTCAGAGCAGTTTGCATTGGTTATTGTCACCTTTCTCTGAATCATCAAATAATGATGAGGATGGGCCAATACTGCTAGTTAGTCTTGCAAAACTTATGTCCCGTGTATTTTTATGATTTCCTGCCACATTCCAATCTTTTCCAGTTACTTCTAAATGCTATAGAAAGCCTTTACTGAAAGAACACTTTTTAGCTACAGCACTGTACACAAGTACTATTTAAGTAGAAAGAAAAGGAAAAATTTCACCTAAAGTCCTAGTACA